ATAGTAGCATTGATACCATGATCACAATATCGATATTGGTCAAGCCCAACAACTAGTAACGACTAGTTGATTTAAAAATAATAAAGGAATTACCGATACTCATTAAAGGAGTGTCGATACTCCTTGTCATGGGCAGTTTTGTTTTGCTGAAAAATGATCCCCAACAGCTAGAAACAACCACAAACATTTTCCAACATATAAAAACAAGTTGAGAACACTTGAAGAAGGGTTAGAACACCTATCCAAGTAATCAAACACAAGATAAGAGTTTTTCATTCTTATTTTCCTTTTTCTTGTAAATAGTTATGTTTTTGTGAGCCTAATCTTTGTAAACACCTACCTTAGAGAGGTTTTATTGTTTACTTCTTTTTACCTTTTGTAAAGGGGATTGGTTCTAGTTTAGTCAATTGAAAAATTAGGGAATTGTAAGAGTTATCTTTTTATCATTGAAAAAGAAAGAACAAATTAGTAGATTTGTCGTAAAACCTTAAGTGATGAGCTTAAGTAGTGGATGTAGACTTGGTTGATAAGTAGAACCACTATAAATCGCTATGAAAATTGTTCTATCCTTTTACTCATTACTCCCTAAACTCTCAAAAGCCAATTCACCCCTCTTGGCACATTTTCGGTTATCAATTTGAGCTTCAAATATCCCAACAATTGGTATCAGAGCTTGACTCATTAGAAGATTTAACAACCTTGAGACAATCCTTGAAGAAGTTATATCAATTCCAGACATAATCGAGAAGATGAATTCGACCTCCGACTCTTATTACATTGAAGACTCTTAATTGGTCAACAAGCCACCTTATTTCAATGGAGCAAACTATGCCTATTGAAAGAATAAGATGATGTTCTTCATTCAAGCCAACGATCTAGAAGCCTGGAACTCAATCATTAAGGGATACTCAATTCCAACCGATGAGATGGATGATTGGAGTGATGGAGAGAAAAAGAAATTCTAACTTAATGCAAAGGCTATGCACATTATATTTTGTGCATTAAGCCCGGATAAATATGAAGGAGTCTCCTCTTGTTCTAATGCCAAAGAGATTTGAGACAAGTTCCAAGTCACTCATGAAGGAACCAACGAAGTGAGGGAAACCAAAATCAGTCTTCTCAACAATAGCTATGAGAATTTCAAGATGAAAGTGGATGAAGACATCAAAACTATGATGATTAGATTTTCCATGATTGTCAACGGTCTCAAGGGAATTAGAGAAGTGATCCATAATAAAAAGCTTGTAAGGAAGATGATTTACTCTCTTCCAAAGTCTTGGCAATCGAAGAAGATAGAGATCATGGAAGCTAAGAACCTAAAGACTCTCACTCTTGATGAGCTTATTGTTTTCTTCTCATTCATGAGTTGATGGTGAATGAAGATGAAGATGATGAAAAAAAGAAAAAAGAAAAGAAAAATGAGGTAGGCATTGTCTTCAAATCCACCAATGAGAGCAATCAAGATTCAAATGAAAAGGTAGATGAAGTTGATGATGATGAAGAAGTGATTGCCAAGCTCTTCAAAAGATTTAAGAGATTCATGATTTCTAAGGAAGTGAAGCATGAATCAAACAAAAATAAGGGTTTCCCGGTGTGCTTCGAATGTCAAAGAACGGGGCATGTCAAGTATGGTTGTCCCCTCCTAAAGAAGAATTGATCAAGTAAGAAGAAGGCATTTGTGGCAGCTTGGAGTGATAAAGATGACTCCAATGATGAAGATGAAGTAGTCAACCTATGCCTTATGGCCATCGAAGAAGATTCAAATGTATCTTCTAACTTAAATGAATTAAATTCATATTCTTTTGATGAGTTACAAGATGCTTATTGTAACACTCATATCCCATATACCTTTCCATACACGAGATACAAAGGTCACATCATTTTATAAAACATTTTGTCATTTGCAAACTCGTAAAATTTTGTTTCAATTTGAACAACTACAAAATATGATATTCATAGAAGTAAAATACTAAAACAATCACTTAAATACATTACAAAATATTTACTGTAGTTTAATTACATTCCAACTAAGTTATCAAAATGAATAAGATTGTTCTAATGTTACTGATGAGTCAACCTTTAATTAATGAAAGTTGTTACTGCTAAACTCCTTACTTGGTAAAACCTTGATCGTTCCCTACACGTGAAATCAACACACGTTAAGTATTTACTTAGTGAGACATAATACTGTAAAGATATCACAATTTATACATAAATATCTTATAACCAATGAATGACGAATTAAATTGTATAATCCCTAAGGACCAGATAAGCCCTTCTCAGTTCAAAAATAATTCTTTAATACAATCATTGCAATTATTCTTAGTAGACCCATCATATTTATCCTTCGAAATATTCCCCCCCCCATTATTCTTGCCCTATGTACATTAAATGAGAAAGTACTATACATGTATTGCACCAAAGTGTCAATTGATCAAGTATCTTTTATAATCATTATGGGCGACACCTTAAATACTGTTAATACACCATTTTGTATTTTTTATTTGGGACATCCTTTCATGCCCATTATATAATGTTTATTTTTTTCCTTTATAACATCCATTCATACCAATTATGCATTGTTGTACATTATATATATATATGTCATCCTTTCATACCACTTATGTATTCCTTTAGTCTTTCATCCAGATGCATTTAGCCTTTCTTCTAACTTGCATATTTGATACTTTTCTGCCAAATGCACAACTAGGCCATTAATTTTTTACTCAACGGTATTTAACTGTTCTTATAACTGGCATAATTGACACATTTCTGCCAAATGTACAGCTAGGCCATTAATCTTTTACTCAACGGTATTTAACCGTTTATCTAACAGGCATAATTGACATCTTTCTGCCAAATGCACAACTAGACCATTAATCTTTTGCTCAACGGTAGTTAACCGTTCATCTAACTGGCCTAATTGACACATTTATGCCAAATGCACGACTATGCCATTAATCTTTTACTCAACGATATTTAACTGTTCATCTAACTGGTATAATTGACACATTTCTACCAAATGCACAGCTAGGCCATTAATCTTTTACTCAACGGTATTTAACTGTTCATCTAACTAGCATAATTGTCACATTTCTACCAAATGTACAGCTAGGCTATTAATCTTTTACTCAGCGATATTTAATCATTCATCTAACTACATAATTAACACATTTCTACCAAATGGACAGCTAGGCCATTAATCTTTTACTCAACGGTATTTAACCGTTCATCTAACTGGCATAATTAACACATTTCTGCCAAATGCATAGCTAGGCCATTAATCTTTTACTCAACGGTATTTAACCGTTCATCTAACTGGCATAATTGACACATTTCTGCCAAATGCACAACTAGGCCATTAATCTTTTACTCAACGGTATTTAACCGTTCATCTAACTGACATAATTGACACATTTCTGCTAAATGCACAGCTAGGCCATTAATCTTTTACTCAACGGTATTTAACTGTTCATCTAACTGGCATAATTGACACGTTATGCCAAATGCACTGCTAGGCCATTAATCTTTTACTCAACGGTATTTAACCGTTCATCTAACTGGCATAATTGATTCCTTTCTGCTAAATGCACTGCTAGGCCATTAATCTTTTACTCAACGGTATTTAATCGTTCATCTAACTGGCATAATTGACACATTTCTGCCAAATGCACAACTAGACCATTAATCTTTTACTTTAGAACTGTTTTTACTCTAATAATTATTCATAATATCACTTAACTCTTTCCATTCATTATAAGTTCTATAGTTTGCACACGTAGTGTCAATACGTTAATTTACAAACTTATTATAACTTACATGGGTTGTGCGCTAGAGTTTTCGATTTTAATCATCACCTCCTCCTCCTCACCAAGATCAAGATTATCCAGAGCCTCCTCCAAATCACCCATGGAGAAAATAAAATCAGCGAATCAAAAAACAAAAAAGAAGCAAAAAAATGAACAATAACAAACTGACCAAGGCGACAGAGAACCCTAATACCGGGTAGAAAGGACTTATAAATCAATCATTATTGAACATATATAATTAAAATATTAAGTATCATATATATATTATTTTAATTTATTTTAATTCAATCAATAATTTTTAGAGTATATGATTAAAAATTTTTAGATAACATCTATATCTTCTCTTAGGTTATGAATACAATATTCATTACGAATAAAATCTTTTTTTTCTCTTTTAGGAGAAATTATTTAAAAAATATTTCAACTCACTCTAATTATATATGTGTTTTATCTAAAATTATTCTAATTTAAATTTCTTTAATTGATGTTTTGTATTAATTTATTCTATTTATTAGGACTTGAATGTACAGTCATTGCATTTATAATTTTAAAAAGTACAACATATTATTTATAATCATTTGTATGATTATATTTTCTTTATTGTTCTTTAAATTACTTGTAACCCCTTTAGATATTTAAAAATAAAAATTGAAATAAAAATTATTTTTGACACTAAAAGTAATAAAAAGTACAACATATTATTTATAATCATTTGTATGATTATATTTTCTTTATTGTTCTTTAAATTACTTGTAACCCCTTTAGATATTTAAAAATAAAAATTATTTTTGACACTAAAAGTAATAAAAATAATATTTTTAAAATAAAAATTATTATATTTTGTTGGTATTAAATAAAATTATTTTAAATTAATTTTAAAAAATAAAGTAACTTTTAATTTATAAATATAAAATCATTAAAATACCATTAAAAATATTATTAAAAATACATGTTTAAAATTTTCATAAATAAAAAACTATCCTTATATATAAATTATTATTAATAATAGATTTAAACATTAATAACTACAATAAAATAACTGAACGTTAATTAAACGTTAGAGATTAATTAAAACAAATACTACTTTAAATAAAGAGTGAAAAACAGAAAGGCAAAGTGATATCATTGTTCTCTCACCACTCTATAAATATTCCTCTATTATTTCCAAAATTTTATTTATTTTTGCCCGAAAACAAGCAATTGTCTCTTGAATCCTCTCCCTCTCTCTCCATCACCAAATTAGGGTTCATATTATCGCCTAATCGATCAGATATGGGAGGAGGCAATGCCCAAAAGTCCAAGATGGCGCGTGAGAAAAACCTCGAGAAGGCTAAAGCCGCCGCTAAAGGTTTCATTTTTTGTTTTCTCATCAGAAACTAGAAAGAAATGTATAAACTGCTGAATTTTTTTGCTTTCAGATAATTAGATCCTTCTATTGGTTATATATTTATATGTTTTCAGGAAGCCAGCTAGAATCAAACAAGAAAGCTATGACGATTCAGGTGATTTTGGTGTCCATATAATTTTGCTTTTTTGGTCTTGTTTTGTTGCCGTTTGCTAATTCTTTTGTGGGTTGCAATTGCTTTATCTTCTAATCCCCCTCCCGGGGAAATATGAAGATATCTTTCTTTAGACAGAGGAAAAGGTTCAATAGAATTTTCTTATAATTTGTCCCTTCAAATTATGTGGGGTTGTTTTATTATTATTATTATTTTGGCTGGTTAGTTATTGGTTAGTTTTGAAAAAGGGTTTGTTCTGCAAGAAAGATAAAAAATGGATAAGAATTTAAATATTATAATGTAATTGTTATGTTGTAGCTTAATCATTGGATTAAAATTTCTCTCATCCCCAACCCTTAAAGCTAACATGCCCTTTATGAAAGTGGCTCCAAGTGATCTTCTCATGCAATTAATTAATCTTCATGTTGTAGAATGGTCGCCATGCTTGTGTTTACAATGACAAGCTGTCTTTGGACCAGTGTCTGAAATATTAAATACAGTTCTTACTTCTTAGTTGAAAATTGAAATGGCTTTGTTTCTTTTCATGTATATGGTTAGTCTATGAATTTTTAGGTTTGATTCTTTTCTGTAAGCAATGTTTGTGTTGGGAGCTGGTTGTTTTTTTGTCCTCTCAATTTCTCTCCTATCATGCTACGGATAGAATGTTGAGTTTGATATAGTACTGTCAGTTCATTAGTGGCTTGAGATGTCTCTGCATTATTTATGAAGCATTTGCAAGTGTGAGAATCACTGGTGTGATGCAGTAGTGAGTTCTAATCAGATTTAGGTTTTTAAAAGGAAGTACCTGTTATTTGTACTTTGTAGATTTTCAAACCTTTAGCAGATGAGGCTGTAGTGAGAGGAAAGCATTATTTTGAACTTGGGCCTAGATGATTACATTAAAATCTAGCCATTCTACATACGGATGTAATTGAAGGAATTACAATGATTTAGCACTCGAGCTTCCTGTCTGTTTGGTGCTCTAATAATCGGTGATTGATTGTGGCGATCTATTCATGCAAAATGCAGTGCAAGGTTTGCATGCAGACATTTATTTGCACAACATCTGAGGTGAAGTGCCGGGAACATGCGGAAGCAAAGCATCCAAAGTCTGATGCATATGCATGTTTCCCTCATCTGAAGAAGTGATGTAGCTGTATCGAATATAGACTTTAAATCTGGATATTAGTCATGTAAAAGCCTTGATCATGATACTAAGGACGACCTGTGAACCTAAAGTAACTGACTGATCCTCAAAACCTTTCAAATGGATAAATTGGATATTGGTTCAATCCTGCATCAATGTTAAAGTGCGCATTGTTGTTTATTTAAAGCTTTGTTTCTGGAGAATTGCTGTCGTAAACTTGTTGAAATTATTCATTTTGCATTCCATTTATTCATACCACTCCGTCTAACATAGACCACAATATGCTGTTTTCTCGTCCCGGGAATCCAAGAACCCGACTTGAGCGATTTCTACCCTTGAGAATTCAATAGCCAAAGGGTTTGCCATGATAGAGGAATTGGAGCATTTCGTGCTTGAGGTCAAGTCGAGGTATACGCTTTTGGACACCATAACGAGCGTAATGGTAATAATAATAGATATGAATAGTAATCATACCACGAGTCAAGCGATCTCAATGATTAAAGAATTATTGTTATCTATAGAGATTTCAAACTCGAACATTACATATGTTGAGGGTATGAGTGTTTATCATTAAATAGTTGAAAATCTTATTAAATTTTATTGAATAGATATTATCTTGTATTTAGTCCAAAATTATAAAAAAAATAATGGTATCTCTGAAAAGATTAATTTTATAAGGGGAGGAGAAGAGTTGTTTGGTATCAAACTAACAATATCAGTTGGACTAAATTAAGATACCCTATCAGCCCACTACAGACTTGATTAGTGGAAGACTTTAAACGCATGAAACCTTGAAATAAATTGATATATATATATATATATGTTGGACACATGTTCATGTTCGATATACATCATGGGCAAACACTTCGAAGAAAGTCGAAAGTTAAAAGCCAAAAAAAGAAATACATTTTATGCTCACAAACAAAATAACTAACTTTATGCAGCATGAAGCGCGATCAATCATCCCAGCTTATATCGATCTATACCATAGCTTCTTTCAGTTGGCTTCTCTTGATGATCATATCGAAGCAATTTGTCCAGAAAATCAATCGCCTGCAAGTCAAAAGGGCTTAAAGAATGAATATGGATTATAATTATTATTAGGCAACAAGGTAACATAACAGAGCTTATTATATTCAATTCCAAGACGTTTGCCAAAAGAAGAAAAATTACCTCTGGCGAAACAAGATGCCGATTATCTGCATTAAAAAGTTTGGACCAGTGTTTTCGGGTGTGCCTGAGCAACATATCAATAAATTAATGATACAGCCATTTGACACTATGAATCCCAACCAGTGGGATGTAATCTGTGTGCAGAACTGCATCACTTCGAAGTGCAACAACATTGTTTAGGATAATCAGAGCTTTAGTTTACAATTTAAAGCAAACTTGTATATTTGATAAGTTCATGCTTAATGTACCTTCCAACAAGTGCCTCAAGTTGAGGATCAAGCTCTAAATGATATTTATTTAGATATGCATTCAACTCATGAGTTCCTACCACCTGAAATTACATAAATAGCAGCCAAAAGCTCTGTTGCATTCTTGGTAAACTGGCGATATATTGTTAAGAAAAAACAGGGGGGAAATGTAAAAATAGAACATTTTGTTTGACAGTTCATGTAAAGTATCCCCTGGTATCTATCTCCTACCAAGTGATAGTCACAAAGAGAATAACCGTTCAAATCAAAACCTAGAAAGAGTAGTGAATAAACCTACGTTGCTCCAACTCTTCATTTTTCAAGAAGTACATGTGTCTGACATCTGCATTCAATTTATATCTGGACATGGAAAAGGAGATGTGATCCTCCAAGGACCCTTCAAATACATAATCTTGAAAAAACTTGAACACACCCGTGTTTGACACTCATACCCGAGTCCAAGAAAGATAGGAATAAACAACCCTAGCAGGTGCTAGAAAGGTTACAAAGTGATGCTCCAGATGTAGATTGTAAAAACAAAGGTTGATTACTGAGATGGGCGAGGTACAAAGAAACAAACTAATGATGTACTATATAAACCAAAATGTTAGTTTAACAAGAAAAATTATGACAAAAATTTAATCTTCAGCAACAATATTGAAAAACATAGACAACTATTAACTTGAGATTCGGGACATTACAAGAGTGGCTCTGGAAAACCTACTCTTCGGATGGTGTGTAAGACGTATGGATGCATTTACATTTGCATTTCATTCGGACTATGAATATTATGTCTCGGATTATGAATATGCTTGTGTTTTGAACTTGTTTGTCTAATTGCACTTTAGAGACATTCTAAGCTTTATAGCTTACACCCTATAATTTCTCTTTCAAATACTAGTACTTAGGCGATCCAATACTTAGAGAGTTACGATATTTATTTTCAGAAAAACTATTATTTTCAGTGTGAGATTTTATTCAAATTTCTTATTTCGGATTTATATTCATAATTTTATTTGGGGATTATTATTATTATTATTTATGTAATTTGGGACATTTGACCTTACAATTATTTTTGGACTATTCAATCATGACTTTTCGAATATTTATCATTTATGTCATATTTTCTTTGAACGATTATTTTCAATAAAATATTGAATTTTGAAATTGGAAGAAAATGTTTCTAAGCTAAATGGTAATTTTTAATTTTAAATCAAATACGGATTTCTTGAGGGACAAGTTTCAACGTAAATTCTATAGATTCAGCATGTATCACTTAGGTCGGGTTTAAGGGGTTACATAGTCAAATTATAAATAAGTAATAATTCAGGGATCAATTTGTATATAAAGAATATATATGTATATATGCTTAAAACTCATCCTAACTAGTTTTGTTACCATGATGTTTTGTCTTGCTTTTATTTCTTTAAAAAATAAAGTAAAATATTTTTAGGTTTTATATATAAATTGACCTTTAAACTTTATTTTACTTCTGTTTGACCTCCACATGTCACTGATTAATTGGATGACAATATCACATATCTTTTAAAGTCGTTATACCAATTAGTTGGTCAAATAATATGAGGTTGAGCTTAAATACTATTTAGAGTTTAAATTTTACTATTATAAATTAGAGTAAATAAAGGATCATTACAATATTTAATTCTATTTAATGAAATAATTTATGGATAAATACAAGTGATTATATAAAAAAAATTATTAATTTATTTACAACAGGTATTAAGTTCTTATTTAAGAGGCATATCAAACCATAGATTCAGACTTGATGGAGTTGGTGGAAAGATTATAGGCTATATTCGAACACTTTCTATCCCTTGTCTTTCCACATATATCATGCATATTGTTTTCCTTCAACCAATCTAACATTATATTAACTTGGATCATTAATAACATTATCGGACATTGCCTCCCGAAAGTAAATTTGCGGAACCGATAATAAGACTAACCTGCTGTTTTTATCAGACTAAATGAGTTTAATTAACGAAATATTTCCTACCTAAACTACAAAACAAACTTACTTCGTGTTTCCAAAAACAATAATCACCAGTGATAACGGTGTTTCTTGCTTACCAATCTTGGTCGGTTTTTTCCTAATATCACAATTGCAGCTAGTCCGGGTTTTCCCCCCCATCAGAATAACAACACTTTGTAGCTTTGTGATACGTTTCATTGTATCATCTAAGGGTATATATTGATTTAGGCTTTCACAATTACTCCCCAGATATTTACACAGATTTCGGTTGAATTTGCTCGAAATCGAAAACCTCGAACATAAGGCGCCTCACATCTGGCTTCCCATAGACTGTGTATGAAAGTCCATGGAGGGCCTGATTAACAGCAGTTGTGGCAGGGTTTCGGAGCCTTCGATTGTGCTCATATGCATCTTGAACTTGCTCCGAGTAGATGATAAATCGGTGGAGATATTTTTCCCGCAAATACCTCCCACAGAACTTGTTCATAAGCACGCGGCGATGCTTCTCTTGCAACCATCTTCCAGGGGCATCTAGATGCTTCATCAGCAATCTCTCGGCCATAACAAGATCCTAAAAGTTTGAAAACAGAAAACCATAAAAAGATGCTACTCTTATAACATTCTTTTTCTTTGCAGTATCATTGAATAATAGAAAGAAAATACAGGCCCAAGCATGTGTCCAACATTGCAAAAGCTACAAAAACAATTACCTGGATCTTTTGGCCAACATATTCTAACCGCTCAAAGCAAAACCGAGGATGTTCAAACTTGTATTTTGATGGATGCATAAAACAAATCTGTAATGCCATAAACGAAACAACATGAAGAATCAAGCAGGAGAAAGATGAGTAAATGATGTATTGGATCTAGAGAATGAGAATAAACAGTCAAATAACCTGTAGCCCAAGTCCAAGTTCAATGTTCCTGGCTTCAGTAATTTCGGGAATTCTATCCTTAAGTGCCAAGGGATACCCCAGTGTCTGCATAACTTGAGGTTTGCAGTCATAATCCCAGATATTTCCCCGAAACCGATGCATACCTGGTGGAACACAAGCCCTGAATAGCCTTGGATGAGCAAAAAGGGCATCTTCAGGTGGCTGTAACAAAAACAAATTAGGTAAGTTTCCTCGTACTATCAGTGTGAATGAAATGCTTACCCAGGCTCTCATGCCTAGAAACATGGCAACAACACATAATCCCTTTACTCCATCCATTTTCTTATATTTTGGTTTTCCTCTACTGCTTTCCATTTTAACTAATAAGCTACCTACAAACGAAGGGTAAGAAAATCAAAGCTTGCCTTATAAGTAGCAACATCTTGCCAACTGAGCTTATTCCCTTCGAATTCAACAGAAACATAATCTACATCTTCAAGTTGTCTCCTTAACCGTGGCTGGCATTCCTCGGCTTCTGGATCCATTCCAAATACTTCAAAAAGAACACGATACACTTCCGGCATACCAAAACATAAATATATTGCTCCAAACAAAGCCCAATAGACAGACCTGGACATAAGAACGAAAGTAAGTAGCCAATACATGTATGTTGTTAGCAGTTACATATCTCGCAATGTCATCAACCAATGCATTGAGTGATATGAGCTTTCAAGAAGCTCAAGCGTATTCGGTACATACATGCAGCACGCACCCACACTTAAAATGTTTCTCTTATGAAATCTAAACAGCTCTTGCCAGTAAACCAGATTACTGCAACATAATGCCTATCAAAATACAAGGTAATATAACTTTACGTCAACCACCGAACGATTGCAATACAAGATAGCCAT